GGGCGGTGCCCCAACTCCCCAATCGGCCCTGCTCTGAGCCTGACCAGGGGCTGCACTTAGGGATTGGGCCTGCCCTCTGCCACCCGGGAGCAGGCCTAAGCCAGCAGGTCGTTATCTCCCAAGGGGTCCCAGACTGCGAGAGGGCACAGGCCGGGCTGGGGGACCCCTCCTCCCCCCCGAGTGCACAAATTTTTGTGCACCGGGCCTCTAGTAGATAATAGATAATAAAAGGGTAATATGCAAATAGACCGAATGGCAGAACAACCAATCAAAGCGTAATATGCTAAGGCTGCTCAACTGCTCGCCATGACATTGCCTGACCACCAGGGGGGAGACAGTCAACTGGTCAACCAGTTGCTATGAGGTGCACTGACCACCAGGGGGCAGATGTTCTAACCTGTAGGTTAGCTTGCTGCTGGGGTCTGGCGGATCGGGGCTGAGTGAAATGGGCCGGACATGCCCTGGAGCCCTCCTGCGGTCCCTCCCCGGCCCGATCGCGCACTGGTGGGGTCCCTCAGCCTGGCCAGTGCCCTCTGGCAATCTGGGACCCCTCGGGGGATGTTGGAGAGCTGGTTTCAGCCTGGTCCCACAGGCCACTCCCCTTGGGAGGGCGCCAGACACAGGGCTCATGGCTGGTGAGTGCTGCTGCGGCAGCGTGAGCCTCTCCGGATCGGGACTGATTGGGCGCAAGCCCGCAGCAGGCACAGTGGGGCCAGGATGAGCGGGAGCAGCAGGTAGGAGCTGCAGGCGGCGTTGGACTGTGGGTTTTGGCCTGATCTCTGCAGGCCACCCAGAGGGACCCCACCCATGCATGAATTTGTGCACCAGGCCTCTAGTCTAATAATAAATACATTTTTAAAACATGACATATTCTGTTCCTCTCTTAGTTGGTTCCAACTAGATTAAAGGATCTGAGAACTCTTGCAGAAAGGAAGTGTGTATACTTTTGTTAAACTCATCATCTCCCAAGCTTATTTGAACCCTTTTCTTTGTGGACTATAATATCCCGTGTGTATTGGGAAAGGGAAAGGTTAAGCTGTTGTATCAAAAAGATCAAGCAATATAGTGACTGAAAGAATATCCTTCCTTATGAGACAGCCCTGGTTGGGTATGCAGGCTGCATGGCCCCACACAGTCATCTGGTGTCCCAGGCTCCTTCCTTCTGGTTTTCCCACCATTCCCTAGAACATTGTCCTTGGCTGCAGAGTCAAAAGCAAGTCTGAGAGTGTTTGACTTCCACTCGCAGCAAGGGGGGAGAACTTGGCAGATGGCCTGTGCAATGTTGGAAGGCCCACCCTCCGCAAACGGCACACACCTTCTATTCCTTTAGTGAAAGCCTTGTTGCATGGTCACAACAGCTACAAGAGGGGCTGGGAGTGTAGCTAGGAGGACATTGCCCACCTGCGATTTTATTACTATGTGTCAGTGTCACCCAGCCAGCCTGCAGCAGAGCAGGGACTAGAATCCAGGTCTCCCAACTCCTACCCAGGATGCCAGTTACCACATTAGCATTGCTTACTCCTCCATCATGTATGAAGTACCTCTTGAGTTCAAGTTTATTGTCAGATGAGGATAGAAAGCTTTATAAAACACAATTTCACTGATTCTCTATAAAATATCAATTGCATCTTTAATCTGCTAGCAGTTTTTATTTATGGATAAATTTTTGAATATGGCTATTAAAGTAGCAAAAACTATAGGTTTATATCATACTATTTCAATTTGCCAGAGAGCACATACAGCGGGTCCTCAAACAATGTTTCATTCAATGTGGTTTCACTGATGATGTTAAAAAAAAAAATTGATTCCTGCCCAGGGGCCACTGTTTGCATGGAGTTTGAGTGTTCTCCCATGTCTGCATGGGTTTTCTCTAGGTACTCTGGTCTCCTCCCCATTCCAAAGATTTGCACATGTGGTGAGGTATCTAAATTGTCCCAGGCCCTGGCCGGTATGGCTCAGTTGGTTGAGCTTTGTCCCATGCTGGTTTGATTCCCAGTCAGGGCACGTGCAGGAGGCAGCCAATTGATGTTTCTCTCTCTCATCAATGTTCCTCTCTCTCTAAAATCAGTAACAACATATTAAGTTGCCTCAGTCTGAGTGAGTGCAGGTGTGCATGAGTGTGCCCTGCGGTGGAAGAGCGTCCTGTCCAGGGCTGGCTCCTGCCTTGCACCCTGAGCTGCAGGGGTAGGCTCCAGCCCCCTCTCCACCTGAACTGGAGGAAGTGGGTTGGAAAACAATTATCTTCTTTGTTTTTATTCATCTTTATTAAATGTATGTATAGTTCACATTTATCTTCATCTTTAACATGAAAAGTATTTGGAGTCTTTCTTTAGAATTTTTGTGATGTTTTTATTCATCTTACTTAAATGTATGCATAGTTCACATTTATTTTAATCTTTTATATTAGAAGTATTTGGGGTCTTTATTTAGAAGTTTTGTGATGTTTTTGTAACCAGAAATATGTCATAGGGACTTAACTCTTGTTTATATCAATGAGCCTATGGTAAAATAAAGTCGCAGTTTCCAAGAACCTATTTCTAACATTAAGTGAGGACTTACTGTGCTATGGGAATAAACAAACATAAGAGGAACAGAGTATAAAAATCTTGAAATGGACCCAAATACATCTCAGAGTTTAGAGTATGGAAAGATGAATTTCAAATTAGTTCTGAACAACAACAACAAAAAAGATACACTATGTGTGAGAGTGTTGCTGGGATCCCTGGATAGCAATGTGGAAAAAATAGTGTCTACCTCATCCCTCAATATAATTCATATTGTTCAAATATGTAACTTAAAGGAATCATGAAAGTCAAAGCATTTAAAATATAATGTTGAATGGGATAAAGTCTTTCCAGACAAAAACTATAAGAAAACTAAAAGAAAATTTTGATTAATTAGGCTATGTAAGAAGTAAAAACTTATATGTAGAAAAAAGAACAAAAAGTCAAATCATAAATACATTTTTTAAAACCTCACTTGAGGATGTTTATTTGTTGTTTTTGTTTAAGAGAGAGAGGAAGGTGGTGGGGGGGGGGAGAGAGAGAGAGAGAGAGAGAGAGAGATCCATCGATCTGTTGCCTCCTGTACATGCCCCAACCAAGGATCAAACCTGTAACGTAGGCATGTGCCCTGAAAGGGGATCAAACCCACAATATTTTGGTGCACAGGACAACTCTCCAACCAATTGAACCACCTGGTCAGCGCCATAATACATTTTTAAAACATATGTCTCTGACTATTTCCTTGGTACATAAAGAGCTTTTACAAATCAATAACAACTAGTGGCCTGGTGCATGAGTTGCATGGGTAGGGTCTCTAGGCCTGGCTGGCGATTAGGGCTGATTAGGTTCCCCACCTTCCTGCCTCCCTGCCTCCCCGCCTCCTCCTTCCCTCACTCCCTCAGCACCCCACCACTGCTGGTTGCCCACCATGTTCCGCACTGCCCCTGGTGGTCAGCTCACGTCATAGCGAGTGATCGAACTCCTGTTTTCCCGGTCAAACTCCTGAGGGGACACTTTGCATATTAGCCTTTTATATATATAGATAACAACAACAATAGAAAAAGAAATGGGCAAAGGACATGAATATACACAGGAAAGAAATTTAAAATCCAATAAATATACAAAAAGCAGCAAAACAATAAGATAATCTTTTTTCATTAACAGACAGTCCAACATTTAAAACCTTGATAACCTCCAGTATTGGAGAGACTATAACAAAACCCATATTGTCATACACCACTGGTGAGGGTGTAAATTAGTACTAGATGTTAGGAAACAATTTGCAATGGCTATCAAAATTTAAAATATGTATATGATTTGATCCAGCAAGTCCACTTCTAAGACTTTATTTTAATGATAAACAAAACAACAACGATATATAGATATAGACAGGTGTTCATTTTCACGTTGTTTTTTTTTAAAAAAATATGTATGTTTTTATTGATTTCAGAGATAGGAAGGAACAGGGAGAGAGAGGTAGAACCATCAATGATGAGAAGGAATCATTGATTGGCTGCCTCCTGCACATTGGACCGAGCCCGCAACCCAGGCATGTGCCCTTGACCGGAATCGAACCTGGGACCTTCCATCTGCAGGCCGACGCCCTATCCAGTGAGCCAAACCAGCTAGGGCTCATGTTACTTTTAATGGGAAAACAGGTAGCGGAAGATGGGCAACAACCTAAATGTCTGTGGTAGTGTTAAGATTTATCCCCGAATTGGTACTCCTCCCTTTGAGTGTGGGCAGTAGCAGTGACTCTGATCAATAGAATGTGGTGGAAGCGATGGTAACAGACTTTCAAGACTGGGTTATAAAAAGCATTTTGCCTTCTTCCTCATTCTGCCTCTTGAGTTAGTCACCGTGGAAGAAGCCAGCTACCGTGTTGAGAAGACACTGAAGCTGCCCCATGACGAGACCCACACGCAGGAACTGAAGCCCCACGCCCACAGCCACGTGAATGAGCCACCTGGGGGGTGGGCTCTCCAGCCCCAGCCAGGCCTTGCTTCCGGCGGCTTCAGCTCCAGCTGATTTCGTGGCTGAAACCTCATGAGAGACCCAGAGCCAGAAGAACCCAGCTAAGCTGCTTGTGAATTCATTAGCAGGGGATCATGAGATAATAAATGTTTGGTTTAAGCTGCTAAGTTGTGGGGTCATTTGTTAAGCAACAATGGATAACAGATATAATATTAAATAATAAAAAGCTGGTTAATAAAGTATTGTCCTGACATGAATTGGAACTCCATGCTGCTGTTAAAAATAATATCTTCTGCTTGAGATGTGGAAAGCTAAAAGGAGTACTATCTCCACACATGCGAGATTTTAAAAAATCTGGAAAATACACAAATGCACTACTTTTCTTGAACTCATGAGAGAGCTGAGTTCACAAGGCAACATCTTACCTGAAATTTAAGGAAAAACATGTCCTTCCCCTTCTTCTTCCCTCGGCTTCTTCCCCCACAGGCACGAATCTCCTAAACTCTAAGGGTCCCTATGAGACTTGCAACCAGGGGAGCAGTGGGCAGCAGAAGCTCATCCCAGCCTTACCCTCAGGTCTCCAAGGCCCCCTTTTCTCTGACTTCTCAGTGAGCCAAAGCTGCCCAGCCTGGGCTCATTTCCCCACCCAGTCCCTCTCCTGCTGCTGCTTCTGTCCTAGGTCCCTCCTTGTTTCACTGTCCCCGCCTTAATAAACATCCTCTAAAATTCACCTGGACTCATGTTGTGAGATGTTTCCTGCACAAAGTCAAGAACCCACACACTGCCAGCCAGCCCAGCAGACCCGCGTAGGGGAGGGCCCCTTTCCAGCAACAGTCTTCTTAAGGGCACACAGAACATTTAACAGGATGGACCGTTGTTACGGGATGAATTGTGACACACACACACACCCCTTCGTGTTGTGTTGATTTCATTCTATTGATAGTAATACTATGGGCCACAAATGTATATTCTTCACTCAGATGCATAGGCCTGAAATATAATCCTCCATTGACTTGTCTAACTTAATAGAGGAAGGATATGAGACATGAAGAGGTTGCCTTTCAAAGATATTGAGTCGTTTTTGTGTCCCAGGAACTGGGTTTGTAACGCCACCTGGGAATAGGCATTGTCTTCTCCATTACACAGCAGATGACACAGCAGGAGAAACCGAGGCCCCGAGGGGTCACCCCAGGTCGTACAGCTGGGGAGTTGCAAAGGCCAGGTTCTAGCCCACATCTCCCTGACTCCAAGCTCAGTGCTCCTGCTCCTCACCAGGTGAGGCACCAGGTGAGGCGGCCGTGGCTGCCTCAGACGCTTAGTGAGCACACGGAGACAGACCATGCTCTAACCACTGAGCTCTAACCACTAAGACTCTTGCCCACCCTCATGACGGAGGGGCTGACTGTCCCCTGGCTGAGAGGCATCTCTGGCTTAATTCAAGCTCTTAAGGAAAATGAAGACCCACCATAAATGAGGATGGGCAGGCGCTGCCTCAGACCCCCACCTCTGGTGGAGAAATGATCTCAGGTGCCCTTCAAATTGGGGGGAGAGGCATACCCATACCCCATACCCCACCCTCACAAACCCTAGAGCAGCGGTTCTCAACCTGTGGGTCGCGACCCCTTTGGGGGTCGAACGACCCTTTCACAGGGGTCGCCTAAGACCATCGGAAAACACATATATAATTACATATTGTTTTTGTGATTAATCACTATGCTTTAATTATGTTCAATTTGTAACAATGAAATTGGGGGTCACCACAACATGAGGAACTGTATTAAAGGGTCGCGGCATTAGGAAGGTTGAGAACCACTGCCCTAGAGCCTGAGATGAAAGTGCCTGCTTTCTCCCCAGGGCCACTTGCGGTTCCCTCCCCACAGGGGCGGGCCTATCAGCCACTTCTCTCTATGTAAATGACCGGCTTCTCAGCCACACGTGAAGGAGGAAGCCCAGGGCCATTCAGAAAACCCAGCTGTGCTGAGCAAGGCACCGTGAAACAGCAGCGCCAGCCTCCAGAGTCCCAGGCCCCGGCTCCCAGCCATGCCCTGGCAGCTCCCTGCAGCGATGGTGCTCTTCCTGTCCCTGGCCGGTGAGTGACATACACGCCTTTGCACAGGGACCCTGCCATGCCTGGTCCTAGTAAACTGAACTGCACTTTGGTGCCACTCACCAAGGTGAGACCGGACAGACTGGGGAGCTGTGGTAGCTTCCCTTACTGTGGGTATGTGACCCCCAACGTCTTGTCTCCTTATTCGCTTACACAGGTGGGCGCACTTCATTGTTTCCCAGGGCTTCCACGTGTGGACCGGTTTTCTGTGCGTTGGGCAGAGCAGGTGGCAACCCCAGAAGACAGTGACCCTGGCCCTGGGTCCCGGATGGGTTGGGGCACCTTCTCAGGGAGAGTCTGTGGCGATCGCTTATATTTAAGAGAGGGAGCCGGGAGCCGGGACTTAGCCATGGGTCTCTTGCTACCTTGTCTGGGGAAAGCACCCCATGTCTTGCTTTTCCTGTTTCCCTCAAGTGGAAATGCCATGTTGATATTACATAGGCAGTGAATTGTGAAGATGAATGAGGTGTGATCTGACAAATCGCGCCATTTCCAAAAGGGGTAAGCCCGGGCGTCAAAGATTTTTAAATGTCACCATTATACTTGGGATCAGAGAGCCTGTCTGGGAAGCTGAGCTTTCGGTGACTATTTTATGTCCCCACCCCCTGCTTTCACCAAGAACGCTTTCCCTCTAAGACACAGAGTCCTCTCGGGTGCCGTGATCAGGTTTGCCGGTTAATCCACAATTCCTCCCAGAACCACTGCACTGAACCCTCGAGGGAAGGAGCTCTGTCCACGCGGCCCTGCTGACAGGCGCCAAGGGGGGACACAGCGGCACTGGAGTGTGACATCAATTGTTAGGGGAGTTGGGTGAAGGATCAGACCAGCTGTGTATTCTGGTGCCACATTTTCAGAATTAGAGTTTCACATTCTGCTGGAGGCAGAAGGGAAGTCACCATTTCACTTAGCAGGGCAAGCTAATAAAAGAGCAGAAGATCTCAGTCTGGCAGTAAGCCTCCTGACCTGTGCGTGAGAGCCAGTTCCATGGCTGACCGATGACTGACAGGTCCAGGAATGCCACGGGCGCGTGGTAAACGAAAGTGTGAGAGGAGCTGCTGCGGATTCTCAGAGGGGACCTGAGTGAATGAAGCGTGCGAAGGGGCCCCGTTTGCCACATGCGGGTCCTGAGGCTGGTTAAGGACTTGTTCATGGCCACTCCGCTGGCCAGAGCACTTTCTCAGGGCGACAGCCCTGAGACTGGCATCGCGAAAGCCCGGCTTGTGGTCCAGGCTCTGCACTACTGCACCTGCACGCGTGGGTGCAAGAAATACTTGTGGAATTGGAGGTGAGAAAACCATTAGGCACTCTGCTAGGAGAGACACAGCTTTTAGATAAACTAGCTGTGTAAGTGTTGTCCAGTCACTTTGCTTCCCTGTCTCAAATTCTTTCCTCGTGGAATGAGGGCATCAAATTTGTGTCATTTAAAGCAGTAGTCACCAACCGGTGGTCTGTGGACAGGTTGGTGACCACTGATTTAAAGTTTAGGTTCAGCTGCACATAAGAGACAAGCCCCAAATGACAGTAAATTACACAGGATAAATGTTCCTTTCTCTCTGATGTGAAAACAAGTCCAGAGGAACTCGGACCAGGTCTGGTGTGGGGGGTCATGACCACGGACCCACCATCCTATGAGCGACTTCTGCCCAAAGTCTCCTCGTGGTTCTAGACGTCTGCTGCAGCTCCAGCCATCACATGCACAGTGTCGCCCCAAGACCTGCCCGGCCTGCTGCTGTGCCTGCACCCCACCTCCCCCCTTCCCACACCCTCCTTCCCACCTTCCCCGTTCCCACACCCTCCTTCCCACCTCCCCCATTCCCACACCCCCCTTCCCATACCCTCCTTCCCACACCCCCTTTCCACACCCCCTTCCCACACCCTCCTTATGTTCCCGCCACGCTGACCCCCTGCTCTTCTCCAGACCGGCCAGGCTCTGAGGCCTCCGTGCCTTTGCACATAGGCTTCCTCCCACCTGGGACACCGTTCACTTCCTTGTCTGAGGAACTTCTCCTTCAGTTGGATTCCTCCCCCACCTCCTAGCACTTGTCACATGGAGGGGGGTGGCCCGTTCTGCCTCGTGAGGCTTTGAGCCCCTGAGAACAAAGTGCCCCCAGCGCCAGCATGAAGCTTGGCTCACAGGAGGCTTCTACACTTTTGGGGAATTGGGTGCAGCAGGGAAGCCAAACAAAGGCATCTGGGAAGGACTGACCATCTGGGAAACACCTAGAGAAGAGGCCCTTGTGTGGCCACTGACTTTCCCGGAGCCTGCAGGTTGTAGGAGAACCAAAACCTTCTCACGCCTCTTCCTGCGGCTCATTCTCTAGAGGAGTCTCAGTCAGTACTGGGTCAGGCCCTGGGGTACTTGTTTGCTGAGGCTCCTGAATTCTGGAGGAGAGATGCTGGGAGGCGAGGGGCTTGGCAAAGCAGTGTGTGACTCCATGGCTGTGTTGTTGTTGTTTTTAGCAGAGGGAGGGTCGACAGGTTCTGAGTTATGCCCTGCCCTTACTTCTGCCCACTGCCTAGATATATTTTAAGTGTTGGCCTTTTAAAAAATATATTTTTATGGATTTCAGAGAATAAGGGAGAGGGAGAGAGAGGTAAAAATATCAACGATGAGAGAAAACCATTGATTGGCTCCCTCCTGCACTCCCCACACTGGGGATCGAGCCTGCAACCCAGGCATGTGCCCTGACTGGGAATCAACTCCTGGTTCATAGGTCGACACTCAACCACTGAGCCAGGCTGACTGGCTAAAAATATGTTTTTTAAAAAAGGAGTTTAGGGGTGATTTTCATTAGATGTGAACTTCAGGACTCTATAAATACCATCAGAGAGAGAACTCCTTTGTCTTTCCCCAAGTCACTGCCTAGCACCTGGCAGCTACATCTCCAATGCGTATAAAAATGCAATGAAATCACAGCTTTGAAGACACAGCGCCATCTCTCGCTGTACCTCATCACAAACTCCCAAGGAACATCATCTGCACTTTCTCCCCTTTTCTGGCTTGCGAGGTGCCTGGAGGGAGATAAGGATAGAGCTATTGGTTGAAAAGAGCCACAGGCCTTCAGCCCTTCAGGAATAGCCCAAGAAAGAACCTGTGACAATAATACACACTGCTTAATGCTGCATGAAGGCTTTCACTTAAACCAACTCTTTTGAGCCTTACAAACATCCTAGAGGTCTACAGTCCTCTTACCCTCATTCACTCATTCAGTTATTTATTCATCCGATCCATAGCCACAGAATGCTTCCTATGCACAGACACTGGTGGTGAAAAAAATATGCACCGTTCCCACCTCAAGATTGCTTCTAATCCAGTGGGAGAGATGTGCAATCAACAAATAAGTCAATAAGTAAACATTTAACCACAGCTGATATTCTGCTGGGACACACTGTCTGGCCGGGCTTATTGTTAAATATTTGTCTTCCGTCCCCTTATAGAATTACAAGTTGTGATCAGTACAGTGAAGGCAACAAATACAACTCTGTGACGGAGAGTCACGGGATGGGGAGCTAGTTTACATAAGGGGAACAGGGAGGACTCTGAGGAGCTGACAGACAGGGCGAGCAAAAGTAGGTTGACAGTTTTAAGTATGCAAAACACAGTTTATCCTTGCATTATTATTTATTAGTTATTTCTTATTTATTTGTATTATTGTTGTTATTATTTTGTATTCTTACTTATGACTTACCTTTAGGTAATGATGGCTGGTAATCTAACCTACTTTTGCCTTCTCCTTATAAGCCAAAACATGAAGGATAGCCCACCAGGTATATCAAAGCCATTATGGCTTAATTTTCTTTCTAACTTGAGAAAGGTTAGGCCACTCAGAGGTTAAGTAAGGAAATGACAGGAACTGACCTATATTTAGAAAGACTGGTGGCAAGATAAAACATGAAAGGGTACTGACTGTCCCATCATTGGAGGTAATTAAGCATAGGGCAGATGAACACATGGCCACTCATTGGTCCAATTTCCACATCCGATTAGGGTTTGGACTAGCAGATCTTTAAGACTCCTTTTGAATCTGGGATTATATGGTTTTATGCAAACTGTACAACTCTGTGTCTCTTTATTACCACTCTTCACACTGCCCCAGCTGAGTCAGGTCAACACAGCCGCGCTCTACCCAGGAACACCCTCTTCCCAGGAACTGTCTTCACAGGTGAAGACGGGGAATGAAGAATGGACACTTAGCTGTCTCGCTGAGTGTGATCACTTGATGTGTTAGTACCACACCCCATCTAGACAAGGGGGTTGGATAAAGAAGACACAGGGGCTAGATGCAATATGATCACATCCTAGTAAAAAAAAACATGGGGACGACCAAAACATTACGGTTGCGGCCTTGTGGTAGAATCTTGGGTGATCCTCACTTGACTTTTATATGCTTTTAACTTTCCCCCAAATCTGGAAATATGCATGTTAATTTTTAACGAAGAATGGGGGAAGACCTTTGTGAGCTGTTAGTTGAATGTTATCACTTTTGTTCCCCAATTTGCAGTGATTTTGCATCATGGCAGTCAAGTAAGAGCAACAGGGTTTCCAGAAATCACAGACTCTTCTCAACCTACAAGAGCAGCAACAGTACAGGCCACAGCAAAACCTTCTTTCCTGAAACGGACTAGCCAAGTGCCTCACAGAACTACATCTGCAAGTTCAACGGATGGTCACGTCTCCTCTCAAACAGCTGCCACAACCTCCAACTCTGAGACCCCAACGACACACACAACAATAAAAACTCTAACAACAACCTCTCTGCTAACTACAAACAGCACCCCATCCACCAGCCCAAAAATCCACACTCTAGTCACAACCCTGGCCACACCCAACAACTCACACACGGCTGCTCCTGTCACCGAGGCTACAATCGGCCCCAGTACAGCTCCTGGTTCACTGCCCCCCACCATCACCCCACCAGCCCATACAACTAGATCCAACCCATCGACTGTCAGCCACACAACTGGGAAGACCACCCAACCCAGTAGCCAGACCACCCTTCCAGCAACTTTGTCCACCTCACCACACATCAACACAACCAGTCAGAAGCCCACTCAGCCCACCCATGCCCTGGTCACAACCACAGCTGCACACAATGCCACCCACACAGCCTCGCCTGCCACCATAGCTCCAGGACCCACCCTGGCACCTCAGCCATCACCAGCCAAGACTGGAATTTATCAAGTTCTAAATGGAAGCAGGCTCTGTATCAAAGCAGAGATGGGGATACAGCTGATGGTTCAAGACACGGAGTCGGTAAGTTGGGGCCTCGGGACTATAACACTGTCTTCAAAAGGTTTGAGTGGAGTTTCCTTGCCAAGAATGAGCATTCCCCTGCATCCCGCATCTTTTCATGAAATGACTAGCGTGAGCGCCTCTTTCTCCAAGGTGCTCCATTAAAACAGCGGTCGCCAACCTTTCTGACCTCACAGACCACCAGTGGTCCACGGACCACCGGTTGGCGACCGCTGCTCCAAAGGTGTAGGTGAATCTGTTTTAGAATATGTGTAAAAATAGAAACCGACAGCGACAGCTGGGAGAGAGGAAGGCACTCGCCAAAAATTTAAATATGCACACCTGCCGCAACCTGCACGGCTAGGGTTCGGGATCTGAAGGAGGGGCCGACGGACACGTGAAATACTAGACAAGAAATATGAATTTAGAAGGCACGGGGGGCCAGGTGGAGACCTCTCTCTTGGAGTGGCACACCGAAACCTGGCCTTATCCGCTTTTTATTCGGTTTTAGATACACACCTTGCCCTCAGTAAAGCACGGCAAACAGGTAGCAGACAGACCGTCTCTAAGGTCAGTAAAGATCAGTAAACATCAGTAAGGTCCAGTAAACATTTACTTTGAGGCTATTAGGTCAGGAAATTGCTTTGAGCCACCGCTGTCTCAACACAGCCCTGCTAATGCCCAAGGTCCATGGGCCTTCCGCGTTCCTTGGTGCACTTCTTTTTAAAAAAAATATATTTTATTGATTTTTTACAGAGAAGAAGGGAGAGGGATAGAGAGTTAGAAACATCGATGAGAGAGAAGCATCGATCAGCTGCCTCCTGCACGCCCCCCAGTGGGGATGTGCCCGCAACCAAGGTACATGCCCTTGCCCAGAATCGAACCTGGGACCCTTGAGTCCGCAGGCCGACGCTCTATCCACTGAGCCAAACCGGTTCGGCTCCTTGGTGCACTCTTATGGCAGTATTGGGAAAGCGGTGGCTTCCCGCACACTCCCCTCATGTTTAGCCACCACAGGCAGAGCATTAGGGGTGCTCAGTGTTGATCCCACCCCGCCCTGCCCGCCTGATGGCCTCCCAGCCTCAGCAACTTGTCCTGTGAAGTGAGAGGTTTGGATTAGGTGGTCTCCGTGGTTCCCGCCAGCTGGGACATGAATACGGAAAATCCAGATTAACAAGAAGATTGGAGGGGTTGGAGGTGAAACTGAGATGATTTGATTTACTAAAGGAATCACCACAAAACTGTACTTTCTTCTTTTGTACAGTTTTTTTATTGTTGTTCATACTCACCCAAGGATATTTTTCCATTGATTTTTAGAGAGAGAGGAGATAGGAGGGGGAGAGACAGAGAGACAGAGAAACATCAATGTGACAGAGACACATCGATTGGTTGCCTCTGACACCTGCAACCGAGGTACGTGCCCTTGACCGGAATTGAACGCGAGACCCTTCAGTCCACAGGCCGATGCTCTATCCACTGAGCCAGACCGGCTAAGGCTTTTTTTGCACAGTTTTTATGATTTCAAACAGAACTTCCACATTTGAAACTGAAGTACATTACATAGCAAATCTTTCCTGCAATACCTTTCAACATGCGTAATTTAACAAAAATTAACTCCCACACAGTTTATCAGGAATATACCTGCCATGAGTTATCTACCCAGAAGCTCCTCTCTGAGGGAGAACTCCTTTAAAGAATCCTTTGAACACCCTAACCGGTTTGGCTCAGTGGATAGAGCATCGGCCTGCAGACTGAAGGGTCCCAGGTTCAATTCCGGTCAAGGGCATGTACCTTGGTTGTGGGCACATCCCCAGTGGGGGGTGTGCAGGAGGCAGCTGATCGATGTTTCTCTCTCATCGATGTTTCTAACTCTCTATCCCTTTCCCTTCCTCTCTGTAAAAAATCAATAAAATGTATTTTTTTTTAAAAGAATCCTTTGAACCTAATAGTTTGGAAATGTGAGGTGTCATGCAGGGACTTTGAAATTCTCAAGTGAACCCCCACTAGCCTTGAGTTTCAGGCTCGCTTATTAGTCTGTGCCTTTGCTTCCCCAGCTAGACTTGTCTTCTGTATCGACATGAGCTGATCTACTTTATCTGGTTTAGGTTTTTTCACCTGAGAGATACTTCAACATCGACCCCAATGCAACTCAAGCCTCTGGGAACTGTGGCTTCCGAAATTCCAACCTTCTCTTGAACTTCCAGGGCGGATTTGTGAACCTGACATTCACCAAGGTGAGGACTGAGCTCCTTCACACGAACTGGCTTCAACATCTCTCTCCCTCCCCCTCCCCTTGGGGCCCACACTTCACTTTGAGTTCCAGGGAAATAGATCTCAGAGCCTTTTGAGATGTTCTCTGATAAGAATGAGGGGCATGGAGATGGAGAGGAGGAAAGTGTCGACATCTTATATTTGCCTTCTGCCCCCTCCCGCCTCCACTGTGCAGCTCAGAAGGCCTTTTGATGCCTCTTGGGGGAGACTTGGCCTGGGGAACCCAGCAGCAGGTGCCCTTTGCAAACCACCCGAGGAGGAAGTTGTAGAGATGACTAGACCCAGAGGAGTTCCCAGTGAGCACCAGAGAAACAAGATTCGTCTGAGACAAAAACCAGATGTCACAATGGGTCTTTCCAGCCACAGCAGGCAAAACTCAGGGACTAACCAGGCCCTGGGTTTCTAGACCATTTCCTGGGAGGGCGTAAGCAGCAGAGGAGAATGGAAGAGCAGGGGCGTGAGGCCAGGGCGTCACTCGTTCTCCTTGTGACATCAGGCAGGCAACTCAACTGGTCTGAGCTTTATTTTATTGCTTGAAAAATAGGGGAAGGGAATTCGAGTTCACTTCTGTAAAGAGCATTGTCCAATACAAGGAAACTAGATGTTCAATAACCAGGAACTATGATTGAACTGAGAGAGAAAGAGGGAGAGAGAGAGGGAGAGAGAGAGAGAGAGAGAGAGAGAGAGAGAGAGAGAGAGAGATATCAATTTGTTGTTCCACTTATCTATGCATTTACTGGTTGCATCTTGTATGTGCCCTGACCGGCGACTGAGCCCACAACTTTGGCGTATCAGGACGACACTCCAACCAACTGAGCTACTTGGCCAGGGCTGGTAATTTATTTATTTTTCTTACTTTTAAAAAATAAAATGTTTTAAATTGATTCAATTAACAAAGGTTTTTAAGTAGAATAATACTTAATGTTGGCAAGGACGCATATAACCAAGTGCTCTCAACATTTCTGGAAGGAGTTTGCATCGGCACCCTGCGACCTTCGGTCTTCTATGTCTTTTTCCACATCTGGCAGCGAAAATATTTTTCCACTTTTGATGTGAAGGGAGATTTCCATTAAATCTGCATAAGAAAAACATTAGAGTAAGTATAAGATGATAAGTGGCAACTAATAAGGCCTCTGTAGAGAGGAGACAAAAGGAAGGCTAGGAGTGCCCGTCCTCCCCTCCTGGGGTTGGTGGGGCCAGTGGCGGGGCTGGCATCTAGCCCGGGGCACTTGTCACAGTCCTTTATGGCGGGCACTGCCCTACTGCACCAGTTGTTAAATATTATACACATTACCTCTCTCAGGTGATAATGAGACCAATGTTGCCCGAGCTTCTGATTGTTCAAAGGAAGGCAAACATTCAGATCCTTCTATAAAAGCACATGATTTTTAAAGTGTTTTCAACACATTTTTAAAAATTTGAGCACTCTCCTGGCCAAACAAAACATAGCTGAGGCCGGACTTGATCTGTGGACCCCAGAGTGTGCCTTCTTCCTAAAAGGTGAGCTGTGTGAAATGCATGAAGGCAGGAAAGCCATGTAGATTCCTCCACAAGAGAAATGGCTCATCAGCTCAGTCAGCTACTTTTCAAATATTGCTGTATTCTACACCAGTGTTTCTCAACAGGTGCAGTAGCAACATTTGGACTTAGATGAGTCTCTGTGCTGGGGGCTGTCCTTTACCTTGTGGGGACACCATCCCTGGTCTCGACCTACTAGATGCCAACCCCAGTTGTGGCAACCCAAAATGTCTCCAGATAGTGCTTAATGTCCTCCTGGGGGCAAAGTCACCCCTGGTTGAGAACCCGTGCTCTAGAGAAAAAGCGAGCCTTGGAAAACAGGAGTATATTTTAGTTATAATATAATCTATAATAATAAAAGCATAATATGCTAATTAGACTGGACATCCTCCCAGATATCTTTCCAGACGACCTTCCAGACGAAGCCGCAGCAGCGGGGCCGAGGCAGAGGCCCCAGGGCCGCAGCCACGGTGGAGGGGGCCAAGCCCCTTGCATGAATTTCGTGCATCGGGCCTCTAGTAAATGTTATAAGTGAGAACCAGATTGTGGAATGATAAGTGGAAGCTGAATAGCAAGCCTGATTTTCAACCAATTTATCAATAAGAATTTACTGAGCTAGACATTATGGAGGGGAAAAAAAAGAAATATAAGCTGTAGCTGCAGGTTCTAGGTCATGGACAATAATTTGTAATTTTAAAAATTTAAATATAGTGACAGAAACATAGAGAAAAATCTGCCTCCTATACTGTCATTTGATGCCGTTGTCCAATCAAGACTCTAATTACCCATATGATTTCCATGTGCCCACGGGCAAGCTGCTCACTGTCTCTGAGCCTGTTTCCTCTCCTGTGTAGTTCACCGAGCCTAGGGGGAACGGGGCTAGCGTATGTGCAAGTGCTAATAAGGCCTCTGTAGAGAGGAGACAAGAGGAAGGCTAGGGAGTGCCCGTCCTCCCCAGGCGGGGCAGCCACAGCACAGCTGCGGCTGGTGGGGCCAGTGGGCTAGCATATGTGCAAGTGCTAAGCATGGTCTCTGGCCCATAGTCAGGCTAGGAGAGGGAGGTTTCCTTTCTTATTTTCTTTAGTTCTATTTTTTTTTTAAAGAACCGAAAACCTTTCTGTGACAATTCTCATTTGATTGAAGTGACTTGCTGAAAGTTGTTCAGACCCTTCAGGTGCGAGATAAATATACCTTCCTTCCCCTGCCAACTTCCTTCCTGCCAGATAGTTTGTTTTAAAAACACCTTTCAGTAACTTTGGGTAGAGTTCATCTTTCTGTGCTCAACACAACGCCTGGTTGGCAGGGCAGCTCCAGGGCATGGGAGAAACCAGTCACCCAGCGGGGAGGGGCAACAGGGCTACGCAGGGCATTGGCCAGCTCAGGTCTGGAAATCTGCTAACCCTCCTAGCGTTTCCAGGGGCCTGCAGAGTCCTCTTAGCTTATAGACTCCTGAGAACTCTTACCAGCGCAGAGGGCACTACTTAGAGCTTCCCAAGTATATGGTACCATTTTATGCTCTGTTTTCCCTTTCACTTTCCCTCTGCCTGGAATGCCCCTTCCACCCCTCACCCCCCTTTTGCATTCATTCTTTAAGATGGTTCAGCTCAATTATCTTCACCTTAAGAAGTCTCCCCACTCCACCTCCATCCCAGGTAAAACTGGGAGACTCTTCTCTTGGTTCCCTGAGCCTCCATCTGTTGTTCCGCCACCTCCATTAGGGCCCTCATCACACATTCTGCCATCACGAAGGCAAGTCTATGACGTTCACATTTCTCTCTCTAGTGCCCAGCCCTGACTTGGTACATAGTACATAGCAAGTGTTTGATGACGAAATAAATCAATAAAGGAGTGAATCTAAATTTCACAGAGAACTGGGCCAAGGTGCCATAAAGTAGATCAGCAGCTCTAAGGAAACAGCCCCTTAGGCTATTGCACTAGTCACACAATGCTGAGCAAAAAGATCTGATCGATGTTGAAGACAAAATTCACATCCTGAACATCTGTAACTATGAAACTCCTACAGTACATTTTGCAGAAGCAAAGGAGAGGACCCCGGGCCTGTGGTCAATGGCGTGCTGCCTTCCTGAGCAGGCTTGACGGGCGGGCTCGCTCTAGGCCCTGTCTGCTCTGGACCCTGTCCTTTGCTAAGGAGGGTGTTTAGGTTCCTTGAGGAATTAGGATCTCTTTGATGAGATATTTCAGAGCTCCCTTTTGATACTGGTATTGTCAGCATCCCATTGATTGAGTAGTGAGATGGGACTTTTGCAAATGGTCTATTCAAATGGCCCTGCTGTAAGTGCCATATACGACATTAGGAGACCTTGGCCCCCTTTTGTCAATGTTGATGGGTCCACAAAGGATTTTCATTTTGTCTTTCACGAATCTGGCATGGGAGATGTTTGTCATTCTCCAAACCAAACCCCAAATAAGAAAAACATCTGGCAGAGAATGACCGCATGGGTGTGGGCGTCAAAGAAAAAGCAGACACTGTAAACTGAATAACGTGTGGCATGTAACTTCCCTTGGGTTTTAGGTTAAGTCTGACACCTGCTTGAAGCTTCCCACATCCTTGCCCCCCTCCACCGACTCCTATCCCCTGGAGCTGAGCTTTCAGTTTCTTTAATCAATAGAGCTATGGAAGCTTAGCTTACTTGCTTGCTCTATTTTTCTATTATAGATCTGAATCTAGGAAATAGATTACAAAATATATAATTTGACTTCAGTGAGAAAAGTTTACTGGGAAGGGGCAATCTAATTTATTGTTGCATTGTTAATAATCCAAGGTAAAATTTGAGTAAAGACTCTGTGATAAGCTTTTTACATGGATTCCTTCATTTAATCCTCCCATCAACTTAAGAGGTAAATCCTGTTATTATGATCCCCATTCTTCCACTAAATAAGTAAAAAAAAATTAAATTTTGACAATGTTCACAAAGATTCAACAATCCAAACTAGGCTGCCAGGGAACAAAGAGATATTTTCAAAATAGTATTAAAAGAATTTTAGTAACATGTTATTCTCCCAAATAGGAGGTAAGCCACTCTATATCATTTCATTAGCAATTGATTGGTTTAGCAACCTTGTTTTTCATTGGTGGTATGGACCAGGAGTCGACAAGCTATGGCCTCCAGACTAAATCCAGCCCATCCCCTAAACCCGTGGTCGGCAAACCGCGGCTCGTGAGCCACATGCGGCTCTTTGGCCCCTTGAGTGTGGCTCTTCCACAAAATACCACGTGCGGGCATGCACGTACAGTGCAATTGAAACTTCCTGGCCCATGAGCAGAAGTCAGTATTTTGTGGAAGAGCCTGTATTTTGTGGAAGAGCCACACTCAAGGGGCCAAAGAGCCGCATGTGGCTCGCGAGCCGCGGTTTGCCGAGCCGCAGTTTGCCGGCCACTGCCCTAAACATATATGACCTGCAAGCTAAGAATGGAGGAACATGTAGGGCAGGATCCTGCGGACCAGTGCTTGTTTTATCTGACCTCCAAACAATGAGAACCGAGGCTAGATGCTTAACTTCTGAGCCTATTTGTTCTCAGATGTAAAACGAGCTAATAATATTTATTCTGTCTCAGGGGGTTATTACAAGGATCAAAGGAGGCAGTGTAGGTAAAAGCATGTGCTTAGTAAACTGTGAAACTTTTATAGAATTACTAGAGGCCTTGTGCACGGATTCGTGCACTGGTGGGGTCTCTTGCCCTAGCCTGTGCCCTCTCGCAATCCGGGACCCCTTGGGGGATGTCAGACTGCTGGTTTTGACCCGATCCCCGCAGACCAGGCTGAGGGACCCCACCGGTGCATGAATCCATGCACTGGGCCTCTAGTATGCATATAAGATCTTTGGTTAATCTCTTCTCACCCTCCCTCTCCCCCTTTCCCTCTGAGATTCATCAGTCTGTTCCATGTTTCCATGCCTGTGCATTGAGCATCTCCCCCCTGGTGGTCAGTGCGCATCATAGCTACAGGTAGAATGGTTTATGATTGCTTAGGCTTTTATATATATATATATATATAGATAAAGCATCCTTTCTTCATGTGAGGATGGATCAAGGAGATGCCACAGGAAAGGGGAACTGTCAGGAGGTCTCTCATGGGGCTCAGAACTGGCCTCAACCACTCTTTTCCTGCAGCTCCTTATATCAGTCTCACATGGCAGCCCAAGCAATTTCCCAAAGTCATGCTCATGTCACTGTCCTGCTTAAAGCCTTTCAATGGATCGCCCTGCCTTTAGGATAGAGCAGGGGTCTTGCAAGAGTGACTTTGGGCACTGAAGTGCATCCAAGTGTCTCTTGCACTAAAAGGGAACCCAGATAAAATCTGAATAAACGGTATGTGAAAGCAACCGAGAAGGGACTGGCTCGCAGATGTTCCTCGCTAAAGTGAATGGATGGTCCAAGCACATCGTTCAACTCACCTTTGAGACCTGAGACTGAGCACCTCGAAGGATGGAGCCAGGTCTTATTCTCCCCAGACTTAGAGCAATGCCTGGTCTAGAGTGATTGTAAGAGAGGCCAAAGGCTACATTTGGAGACAGGCAGCTTGAGGTCGTATCTTTTTGCTACCTATTAGGGCTATGACCTTGTGCAAGTCTAGGGTTCAGTGTATCAATAGCAGTGGCTTTCTAAAAGCGTTTGTATTTCTGGAACCCTTATATTGCATAAGGAATTATTCCATCCACTAACAATATACAAATGGCTGTATTGTAGTCAAGATTATTATTGTTAAATTTCTTTAATGCCTAGATTTGAAACGTCTAAAGGTAATTCAATTTGAAATTCTCGTTGCTCTACCATTTCTTGCACCTCTTATTTGTGGATAGTTTTCTAATGAATGTTTCAAAAACAATAACAATGTTTCAAAACAATAATCACCTACTTTAAAAAGTAAAAACCTCTTTTTAAACTTAATTTTTCATGTCTCAGTTTAGTTCCCTTTAATGTTTCACTCCCTCGGTCTCTCTAGAGGTTATTGGGCTGTTTTGTAATTTGTTTGTTTGTTTTGTTTTCCCAAAAAGGACAATCTCTGGGTATATTGCTGAGCACAACCCCCTGGGGTCCTCTCGTAGAGAACACCCAGTGATCTCAGGGTAAACCATTTCTTCCCAGCACCGCTCACTGTGGCCGCATGTTACCATTTTGGAAACATGAATCCATTAATCTGTTGAAAGTACTTGACACTCTACCCAGAAAAATTCAGGCACAATTTTGCATGCACTATTTTCCCCAGAGAGTTTATGGACCTGATAAAATCCACCCGCGGTAGCCTTAAGGATGAGTGGTCTCAGTTTGAATCCCAACATAAAACATTAATTACAAAAACTTACTGTATGCTCCTCCAACTCGTCCAGCTTCCAGATGGATTTACATTTTCTAGAGGGGAAACTTGGCACAACTGAAGGGACTCAACTTGTACTGGTGGAAATTTCATGTCAGGCTTTAGCAACAAGCATGCAGTAGAGAAATTTTGGGCCAGGGGCAAGCCATTACTTACTATTTATTTATCATGTAGTATACCTACTTTTTTTGGGGGAAAATTTCAAACACAATTATGGCTCCATACCATTACAGCCCAAACCCTTATATCAAAGATTTAATAGCTGGGATCCTCTTTGTGCGCCAGAATCATAAACATAAAAACAGAGATTACCCAACGATTAACACAGTGATGTTTTACAGGATGAAAACTCATATTATATCAATGAAGTGGGAGCCTATTTGACCATCTCAAATCCAGGTAAGAAGCTAGAGAAGGCTGGTCTACCAGCAAGGACACTGGTTCTGGTTAGCTCATTCTTCATCCCCTTGAATTCTTGAGTCTTTGATGCAGCTTTTGAGAAACAGTCTGAGAGAGTAGCCCACAATATTTATAATTTGGGGGGAACTTTGTACCTCTTTGCGTACTTCAGTTTGCTCATCTGCTCACAAAGGAGGTTGGACTACATTATGTCAGAAATCATTATCAGCGACTGTTAAGAGCGTAGTGACTTTGGACAGACTTGTTGATGGTGCAGTTTATTCTATATTCTTGTAAGCATGCATTCATCCCACAAAAATGTAGTTAGTGCCAGCTAGTGCCGAGCCCTGGAATACAGTGGGAATCCATTATTATCTAAGCCTATCATCTCTGCTCTCAGGGAACTTTCATTCCAGAAGGGGAGAGAGGACCATAAACAGACACATTAAATTATAATACACAGTTAAGTAGTGATAAGTTCTATGCGCAAAACACAAGCAGGGTGGGGCGGGGAGGATTGGGAAGTTACTTAGCCAGGGCCTTCGGGGAGCCCTCTGGGGAGGAAGGCCTCTCTGAAGAGGTGAGGTTTGAGCAGAGGGATGTGGGGACTTCTGGGCCTGGGGAGCTCTTTCCAGCTGGCGGGAACAACGGGTGCACGGCCCGAGGAGTGAACGTGCCGGTGTGTTCAGGGACCAGTAGAGACCAGTGACCAAAGCCGCAGATGAGGTGGGAATGGCAGCCAGGCCAGGGCGGGCAGGGCCTGTGGGCAAAGCAAGGCGAGGACTGTGGAGTTCATCCTAAAGTGTGAAAGGATGCCATTGGAGCGTTTGGTGTAGAAAAATGGCACATCAGATTTACATGTCTAAAGGTTCACCTGGTTGCTGTATGGAGAGTTGCCCAGTGGAACACGTTGAAAGGACTTCTATAATGTTCGCTCCTAGAAAAGCAATGCTCCCAATCAAGCCGGGAGTTTCTCAGAGGCCTCAGCTGTGTCTCTGGAAAGCCAGGTTTATATAGGGTGTCCCAAAATTCATGCAAGATTTGCAATTCAATTCAATTGCAAATCTTGCGTGAATTTTGGGACACCCTATATAAAAAGATCATTAGTGAGCACCTCCTCTGTGCAGGTACTGTACTAAGAATTTTCATGTCTGATTTCTCCTTTTGAAAATTCTATTATCTTCGTAAGGAACTTATACTAAAGAGACGTGCCAAGAAATGAAAATGTGGAGAAATGTCTATTTTATTTATTTATTAATTTATTTTTTAATCCTCACCCAAGGATATCTTTTCCCTTGATTTTTTAGAGAGCATGGAAGGGGTGAGAAGAGAAGGGGAGAGAGAGAGAGAGAAATCAATGTGAGAGAGACACATTGATTGGTTGTCTCCCGCTCACACCTGGACCAGGGTGGGGATGGAACCTGCAACTGAAGTATGTGCCCCTGGCTGGGAATCAAACCCATGACCCTTTGGTCGGCAGGCTGACACTAACCACTGAGCCAAACCTGCCAGGGCGAGAAATGTCTATTTTAAATATTAGCTATATTATATTGATATTGTTCAGGAGGGTGTGGTCAATGATTATGGGTAAAATGTAAGTCGGATGTCTCAGTCAATAACTCACTTTCACATACATTACCTTGCTTAGACGAGTATACTCATATAGGCTGGGAATAAATACTGTGACTGCTAAGATAAATTAGCTAATGTTATCACTAGGCATGGACCAAATTTTAGCCAATAATAGGGTAGTAATGTCTCAAGAGGCAGGGGAAAGGAAAGTAAGGCCAGAAAGTAACTTAGAGGCTGAGGGAGGAGATAAAACAACTCCGGATCCCAGTAAGCAAGGCTCAGCAGTAGCACTGGAGCTGTACCCGTATGATATCACAGTAATGATAATGCTCATGTAGGTGGTGGCAGGGCTATTAGTAAGAGTAATTAGTTGTAATGACCATTGTAATGTTAGCAGGGGGCGGCTAGTAGTAGCCAGGATATAACACATGATACAGCGGTGTACACAGATAATTCAGTACATCATGTAAGACATTTGCAGGTACAAATGCAAGAGTCTACAGTAACTGCAAACAGAGCATCAGAAAAAGTCCCCGAAATGCAGGAGAGTGGTGATTTTTCATGAGGAGAAGGCAGAACTCCAGAAAGCCACATCTAAGGAAGGCCATTTCACTGTACCCGGGCCACCCAGCAATCGCTGGGACTCGATAGATAATATGCTGAGATTCTTATATGCCTTTATTTCACCTTTGTTTTCAGAGAAAATTTACCAAGGAATGAAGAGCTCTGTGATGATGTTTGAGACGGTGATCGGGCATTCCTTCAAGTGTGTGACTGAGCAGAGCATCCAGCTGTCAGCCCACCTTCAACTGAAGACAATGAATGTCCAACTTCAAGCCTTCGATTTCGAAGATGACCACTTTGGAAATGGTAAGTAAAGGGTTCGCCATGTCACAAACATAACTTTTAGAGACCCATGGGTAGTTTCAAGGTATGTTTTTTTTTTGTTTGTTATTTTTGTCTGAAGCTGTCAAAGGGACAAGAATCACATGAGCTTTCTAGAACAGTATGATTCCACAAAGCTCTTAGGACCAACCCACGCTCCTACCATCTTTCTATGAGTCAATACCAACCACAGAACCAGATACCTTAAGCCACTCATGTCTACTGCTGTCCCATAGCAGAATATATTGTCCTTGTCTGAGTCATTTAAACACACACACACACACACACACAGCCAGAAAACACCATCTTCAACCTCCCCTTTATAAACTGTTGAGTACTAGTAAACTCAGGTGTGTTTGGAGAACACTTTAAAGATCCTGAGTGTTAGTGACGTCTAAAATTCAAGCTTTCAGAATAGATTCTTTCCCACTTACAGAGGGAAAAGAGAAAAATGCCATGATCCAAGATAGAAATGTACTCGGTTGGACCCCCTCTTCCCAATTGCACACCATTTCCTCATAGTTAGTGTTAGTTTCCATGTAACTTCTGCTTTGAGTTTTAACCACCACAGAGGGAAGCAGGTCCTAGAAGGAAGGCCAGGGACAGACCAGGGTAACTTTCCCCAAAAGCCCCTTTTTGCTGGAAAAACAGTGTTACAAGGGTTTCTACGTATGTCCAGGCATTGAACTTCAGTTTCTGAAATGTCCCTCTCATAATAACTCACGTGCAAATGCTCAGCCTGGTCACAGAGAATGGTCATCCCAAACAGTGGGCTCCTAACTCCCACATTCTTACCCCCGCCTCCCTCAAATCCTGGAGCCCCAGGCTGTCCAGCAGCCCCGCTAAGAAGCACAGAGTTTGAATGGGAAACTTGGGCCGTGTGATTTGGTGCACATCCCTGTCTCCAGAGTTGGGAACCATGGGTCCAAGGCTTACCGTAACTTGGGAGTCAAGACACAGTTCTGCTCCTGACCCTCTAGACCAGTGGTTCTCAACCTTCCTAATGCCGCGACCCCCAATTTCATTGTTACAAATTAACATAATTAAAGCATAGTGATTAGTCACAAAAACAATATGTAAATAGTTATGTGTTTTCCGATGGTCTTAGGCGACCCCTGTGAAAGGGTCGTTCAACCCCCAAAGGGGTCTCGACCCACAGGTTGAGAACCGCTGCTCTAGACCAAACCAATGCTCCTCCCAGTTGGATCTGCCTCCCAGCTGCATCAGAATGACCTGGCCCCACCTCCAACCCACTGAATCATAATTTCTTGGGCCTCACGTGGGGCCTAGGTATCTACAATGTCATACACATACACTCCTTAAGTGACCCCAAGCACACAGTCAGACCATTGTGCTGACCCTTCCCCTCCTGGTTTGCACCCATCAGTATGTCGGAGGCAGCAGGTGGGAGCACCAGCAGCTCCCTCTCTCCCTTGGTTTCCTTCTCTGCAAAGCCGAGGCAGTCAGGGGCAGGATGGATCCCAGCGTCGTGCTAGCCTGTAACACCTGTTACTCTGACTTCAGTTACAGCGGACGAGTGCTTCAGAGACAAAAACAAGAGAGAAATCCCTGTGGCCGTGGGTCTCAGTATCGCAGGACTGCTTGGCGTTCTGCTAACAGCATGCCTGGTGGCCAGGGAGAGGCCCGGTAGAGGATATGAACGCATATGAAACCCCTGCTCCTTCAGAATGTGTGGGGTTAAGGACTTGGGAATTCTGGCTTCATATTCAGCCTAAAGCGAAGGGCTCGACTTTTCTAGTTGCCTCTCCCACCCTCCCAGTCTGATTAGGAAACCCAGCTTCCCACCAAAAGGCTACCCAAAGGCTGGCTAAAATGCAGCCTCTCCTGCTTTCTCCTGTGAGTGTGGGGAGGCCGGGCCTCGTGGCCTCAAATTCCATCCTCCACACCTGATAACGTGGGCCTGGCGGTGAGCGTTGGGAACAAGCGGCAGGGACACGCGTAGGGTGCGTGTGAGGACAAAGCAGACACCCAAAGGGAGAACTGTGGGAAGGACACCTTCGTATTGCATTGCTTTTTCTTATACATTTTTAAGAGTCTCACTACCCAGTATTTTTTATGCTTATTACTTTTTTACAAAAACAATCCATTTCAAAATACATTCTAAACTGATTTTAAACTCCTGGTTTTGCCCAAATTTTGATTTACTTAAATTACAGATAGTCTTAATAGACTATCATTTTTAAAAAGACATTTTTTGCACGACTGTAATGTACTATTCATTAAAAACTAGAAAACTCTCTAACTTTTCATTTTTTCTAAATGTAAAACGTGTACTAAAGATCTTGGCAAACAAAAGAAGCTCAATAAATGTTAGTTCTCCAATTCCTTCACCTTCATTTGTTGTCTGTCTTCTTAACACGTTTTTTTCTGCTTTGTCTCTATTTTTCTTATTCTAGTCTGTCCTCATAAATTGGTTGATTTGGGCCATTGTGGGGGTGGGGGTGGGGGGCCAAGCCTGAAAACAATCAGAACTGGCCAGCAGAAGAGGTAGATCTACCCAGATTGTGTCCCACTTCCCGTTTTTAGCAAACATTTACCCAAGAAAAGTTATAAACTGGGAAATTCCTGATGGGAGTGATTGCTATCTGGAGGGAAAGTTCTATTAAAATAAGGCTCGGCATGTTGTTCCTGATTTTCTATTACGTGGTCTGTTTAAACAGGAGAAGTGGGGTTTTTATTCTAGAGAAAGAGGCGAGTCATGGCTGTCTGGATGTCCACCGCCTTTACTAACAGGAAGTTTCTTGTTTTGCTATACTTTCCAAAGGTGCTATTCATTACTCTTCACAGCAGGTTTATGAAAGTTGGCAACAACTCCACAGCCACTGTTTATCTAGGACGTGTGCTGGCATTCCCTGGAGGTGTTTCAGCTCTCTCCACTTTCCAGAAGTGAGGCGGTGGGGCGGGCACACAGCAGCCTCAAGAAGGTTCGAGAGCCCCGGACAGCGTCAGGAGTGTCAGGAAGTCCTTTAGAGCAGGAGATGTTGATGAAGAATCTGGGCTGTGAGGACCCGGTGTTCTCCAAAGTGACTCGGGTTCAACAGCCAGGGCTTGGCTTTGGAGAGATGCCATCTCTCTCCATGTGCCCCTTGTTGGATCCCGTTTCCGGCCCTGCCTCAGGTGGCCTTGAAGGTCCCATACTGCAGAGCACGAGGTGTTGATTCAGCCTGCCACTAACCAGAATGACTAACAGGAGGTTCATCTTCTAGTGTGTCCAGACGTCTCCACAGCGGATGGAATTCAAATCGAGAGGAGAGGGACAGAGAGCCCGCTCACTTAGGTTTAATTTTTCCTTTCTGTCATCTTTAATGACAGAAAGGTGGGGTGGGGTGATGACTGCTCCTTAGACTCCTGTTATCTACCTGACCCCACTCCCCCAAACTAATTACCCATAAAATTATTTTGAAGTAACATTCTAGTCATCAAAAAGAACAAAGGTTTCATTTGAATAACTAGTAAATATCTGGTATCCCCTTCCCCACTTGGGTGCTGGGGGTGGGGTCCTTACGATAGCTCAAGAAAAAGAATTTTCTGAGACGTGCACGGGAGGATGAGTGATTTTTATTTGCGTGGAAGTACACCCCTGGGTTTCCCAAGGCCCATTTTCCTTAATCCAGTCCTGGGAGAAGTATAACCGGGGCTTCAGCAGGGCTAGAAGCAAAGCCAGCATCCAGATTTTTCGTTCCTTGTTGGAATTGGGTCCGGTTTAACATTAGGCTAGTTGCAGTCCATTTGTCCAGTGTGTGGGGCCCACATGGCTGTGGGCCATGGGGTGAGTGCAGGGGAGCCAAGAGAGCGTGCCCCCTGCCACAAGAGTCCCAGGAGAACCAAGAGCACCAGGAGCTTAGAGAGGGAATTCCTTTGTTTAGTGGATTAAATATTCCAAATCTTCCCGTGCTTGCAGGGGCCACGCCTACTCTGGCCAATGACCTGTTCCCAGGGGTGACTGACAAACAAGTCCCTTCCCTAGGTCACCCAGACTTTACTTGGCATGCGTCTATTCTCTCCCCCTGTCCCTTCCCCCAGTGATCTGTCAAGAACAGACCAGTGGCTTCCCGGGTGTGTTAAACTGCAGCTTCTGGCAAAGCTGCACAAATGGCATGCCTATACTATCGGGCCTTCCCTTCGCTGCTTTCCTGATATTAATAAATAGGTTCATTACAACAGTATCATTTTGACACAATCTCTTTTATGTAAGCACATCACACTTTGCAGAGAGCACACCTGGAAGAAAATGGAACTAACTTTGTTGAATATCTATTGCTGAGAAGATAAGGTTATCTTACTTAATCCTCCAACAATCCTATCTAATAAAAGGGTAATATGCAAATTAACCGCCACACCATCACAAAGATGGCGGCGCCCATAGCCACAAGATGGTGGCGCCCAGTCCTCTCAGCCCCGCAGGAGTCCCCCAGTCCCGGGGGTGGAGGGGAGGGGTGTGTGCAGCCACTGAGAGCGGGCAGCGTGAGTGGCCAGGAGGAATGCTTGCTTTGTCGCCATGGCGACGAGGCAAGCATTCCACCCTGGCTGCGGATGGGCCTCTGGGCCTCAGAGAGCCTCTGGGCCAGTGGTTCTCAACCTTCCTAATGCCGCGACCCTTTAATACAGGTCCTCATGTTTTGGTGACCCCTAACCATAAAATTGTTTTCATTGCTACTTCATAACTGTAATTTTGCTGCTGTTATGAATTGTAATGTAAATATCTGATATGCAGGATGTATTGTCATTGTTCGCGACCCACAGGTTGAGAACCGCTGCGTCTGGGCAGCGGTCTCGGAGCAGCCAGGCCCCACAGAGAGCTACTGGCGCACAGATTCATGCGCAGGGCTACTAGTCTTATATATTTTTGCTTACTTTATGAAAAGAGGAAATTGCAAGGTTAAATAACTTACCCAAGTTCACACAGTTAGTTAGTAGTGGAATTAAAAAGAGTCAAGTCCCGGTTTGACTCCAAAGCTCAGACTTCCTACTCTCGCCTGCTTTCCAGTCTGCCCTCATCAAACCTCACCCGCTCTATTGTATTTGTTTTTTCTCTTAGTGGACGAGTGTTCCTCTGACTACACAATTGTCCTTCCCGTGATTGGGGCCATCGTGCTGGGTCTCTGCGCTGTGGGTTTGATTGTCTATGGAATCCGCCTAAGGCGTGAATCATCTGGATACCAGAGAATCTAATGGGTGCCCAGGGGAAAGAAAAGAATGGAGCTTAGAGAATTCTTTCATCGTTTCCAGGGTACTGGGGGCTTCCCTTAGAGTGTTGGTCCTTCCAGCAATGTCAACCACCTCTCACAAAAACTGAGTCATTTCTGATTTAACTTCAAGCAGCACATCAATTTCTAAGATTTTTTTTCATTTTATGTAAGATCTAGTGAACTGTTTAAGAGTATTTCCTAGTTTCCTTCCAAATATTTTAACCATTCAAGGTCAACATTTGAGATATGTTAAATTAGCATGATTTATGTAAAGTGGTATATGCCTCCAATTTACCAAAGCATCAAGTGTAATGAATGCTACCTGTGTTCACATTGGGGATTTTATTCTATCCTTGATTTTTTCCATTTAAAAAAAAATGCCTCTTTTTGTCTATAAAAATGGAACCACAATATTTTACTGCTTATGTTTTATATGACAAACATATGCCTGGCAATCTACTAAATCCTTCCCACTTTAAATGGCCTATCAAAAAGAACATTTTACAGGTAGCCTAGGTGGTTTATCTGACACCAGCAGAGGAACAAATCAGCTTTCCTTTTTATCAGGATGACTTCTGTTCCACAATCACTAAAGACTAAGAATTAGATAGCTATGAACAACAGAATAAAATAACAAGCAAGAAATAGCAATAATGACCCTTAATTATTGAACATATATGTGCCAGACACTAGGTACACATAATTTAATTTATGTAATTTACATCACTTAATTCTCATGGTTCCTAGAACAGTAAACTCAGATTGAACAAAATTAATCACTTAAATGCCACCCAGCTGACAGGTGGCAGAGCCAGGATTAGACTTCCCGTTGGTCTAGTACCAAGGTCTCCCGTGTTTTCACTACACCAAGTTGCCTACAGGAACAAATGATGCTAAGTGCTGCCCCGAGCCTCACACTGGCATATGCTCCCTTTTTCATAGGAAATAAATTTATCCAGAATCATGACAGATGAGGGTAGATTAAAGGAGGACTTGCCAGGTAATAAAGGAGCCTATCTTTAAGTTTTACTCCCTTAAAGGAAAGGGCGGGGGGCTCTGTCACATCAGTCAGCTTCTCGTTTTAATGGGATTGTTTAGCTCTGGCTCTACAGATAAAGAAATGGAGTAAAGTCAAGGTATTTTTTTATTTCTTTGAAAACAGCAATTTTCTAACGGCTAACCAACTTTTCTTTCTTGAATGTAGATCCCCCTCTAGTGGTAACTTGCTACTTCTGCACTTTCATAGCCACATTTTCTATTTTAGTTCACTTTATTCTGTAGAGCAGCCTGCCAAAATAATAATAATAATAATAATTTTCATGCTTGTTTTTATTGCTAAAGAAAGGAACTAAGTCAGGACATTAACATTAAGACCACATGCCTCTAGCATTCTTTAGTAAAAAAATGATTCAAGTCACCCAAGACTTGTTCTCTTACAAGTCAAGAGTATTGGCAAGGTCCTGATTTTAGTCTTAATAGAATATTGAATTGTATTAAATGTTTTTTTAATAAAAACATATTTTGGAGATTCACTTATTTCTTATAATTCAGTTTTTCAGTTTTTGTTGTATAAATATTTTCGTTTACAATCTTAGTGGTTGGCCTTGAATATGGAGGCTGTAACTTGAGTTAATAGGTTAAGACATCTTTCTATAAATAATTTATTTTGTTCTATTCTTCATTACCACATTATTACCAGGTAGGAGGACCTATTTGAGATAAACTTAATTTCTGAGAAGATACACCACGTTAAAGTTACAAATTAAATCTCTCAATTCAGTCCAGACTACCTGATTGGATTACTGGTTTACTTAAATGCTCTCATAATTCATTCATTCATTCATTCATTCAATCAACATTGATTAAGGACTTACTAAATGCCAGACACTCTGGTAGGGGCTGAGATAAATAAGATGTCCTGTATTAGTTATCTATAGCTGTGTGACACATTACCCCAAAACTTAGTGGTTTAAGACAACAAACATTTATTATCTCACAGAGTTTCTGAGGGTCAGAAATCTGGAAGCAGCTTAACTGGGAGGTTCTGGCTTATGATCTCTCACTGAGTGGCCAGAGCTGCAATCATCTGAAGGTTCAACTGGGGCCGAAGGATTTGCTTCCAAGTTTACACCATGTGGCATAGCCATAGGGAGGCTCACAACGTGACAGCTGGCTTTTCCCAGAGTGAATGATCCAAAAAGGAGACTGACAACCTAATCACAGGAGTGACATACCAACACTCTGTTGTACTCTGTTGGTCACACGGAGCACCCCTGGTACAGTGTGGGAGGGGACTCACAGGGTGTGAGTGCCAGGAGAGGCGGAAAGTGAGGAGGGCCATCTTGGATGCTGACTATCCCAGGTCAATTGTCCAGGTACGTACTGTGGAATTAGTGGCTTACATTTTTGGGAAACTCAGGTAAATAAATTCTAGTATGCACACTAAGAACAATGACGTAATAAGTGTCTATACAAAGGGTAATAAGAGCAGGTTGCTCTCTAGCCTGCTTCCAACTGTCCCACGTGTAGCACCTGCCTAGGAGAGCACCCTCTCAATCCCTGGTGCTGACAATCCATTGACCAGCCACTGTTCGGGCTGACTTGACTTTCCATGGGGCTGATCATTGTCCCATTGCTCTACAACACTCACTTACAGCTGTTCCTCAGGATTTATTAACTCTCCTGTCTTCTATCATGGTATAATCCAAAGAGATCTGGTCCATGCAGACATCCCATGGGACATCACACCGAACCACTACATTGATCACACCATGCTTATTAGATAAGCACAAAGCCGTCAGTATGCTGGAGGCCTTGGTGAGACACATGTTCCAGGAGGTAGGACACAAACCCTATCAAGACTTAGGCATTGACTACTTCAGTGAAGTTTTTAGTAACCCAGGGGTTCAGGGTCATGCCAGAATATCTACTTCAAAAAAAGAGACACATGTTTTGCATCTTGCATACTTTCCACAAAGAAGGCAGCACAGTGCTTGCTTCGGCAGCACATATACTAAAAAAAATTGGAACGATACAGAGAAGATTAGCATGGCCCCTGCACAAGGATGACATGCAAATTCGTGAAGCGTTCCATATTAAAAAAAAAAAAAAGGCAGCAGAAAGCTGTGCCGTGCCAGCACAGACAAGGGTGAACCTGAGTGGGGGCAGCTGAAAAAAGACAGACAAGAGAATGAAAGCTGGTTCTCAGTGGGACGCTGCTTCTCTGAGAGACAGTGACGATGCCCACAAGCCGTGTCTTTATTTTATAGCAGATGCCACGAGGCAAAGTAAGGGTGTGATCAAGATGTTTAAAACATTCTCGTGGGTTTCAATCCTACTCAACTACATGCACCTGAACTCTATCAAGCCTACATCACTCAGACACGTGGGGTCACGTGTTCCAACCATAGGTTCAAGCTTACAACTATAGCTGTTGGCTATAATTGTGCTGGGAGGACCCTGCCCTCCAAGCTGGGACTTGCACGTGGCAATGAGAGGACTGTTCCCTCTTCTCAGTCCAAGGCTTGAACCTGTCCAAACACTGTAGTGGCTCCCCACACAAAGGCGGGTAGGCCTCTCCAGGTTCTGGAGGCAGCATTCCACAGCTAGGAGAATCCCTCTGGCCCATTTACTAGGCGACATAGTGTACTGGGCTGCATATCTGGCACTTCGGCCAGACAGGGCGTGCTGTGCTGTCTGTTCCTAAAACACATAGATAGGAAGGTACTGACATCAGCTGGGCTGCATATCTGGCACTTCGGCCAGACAGGGCGTGCTGTGCTGTCTGTTCCTAAAACACATAGATAGGAAGGTACTGATACTATACTGTGTCGGGAACTAAGGTTTTGTAACTTTGTGGTTTTTGCAAATAAAAATACTGTAATTCCTGTAGTCTGGGCTGCAGTTCAGCCTTTGCTTCGGCGGGGTGCTGTGACTGTAGTCAGCTGGTCAGCTTAATAAAGGCTCTTAAATTTAAATTCTGAGTTGGTAGTCTATCTCACTGAGTGAACCCATAACAATAGAAAGCTATCAGTTCTGAGAGGGGCCAGAGCAGGGAAGGGTGGCAAAGCAACTCCAGGCCTACCATCAGGTATTGCAATCAGCCCTGCTGCTTAAGTCATCCGTCAGGCAGACCTTATGGTGTTAGAGGTGGCAGTGGTGGGGAAAGGTATAGTATGGAATTTTTGACACAAACCAGTGGGAGAATCATAGCACAGACCCTGAGCATTCTGGAGCAAGACCAAGCCCACGCCATTTGCAGCAGAGAAACAGCTGTTGGCATGTCACTGGGTCCTGAACACTTGACCTTGTGACTCTATATCCAGAATTGGCCCCATTCGGGCTGGGTTATGTCAAATCCACTCAGTAATAAAGTCAGACGGGTCTCAGCAGTAGTCAATTATAAGCTGGAAATGGTACATCCAGGTTCTAGCCCGAGCAGGTCTAGAGGGCATGAGTAGGCTTCGTGGGTAGGTAGCCCAGGCCCCCGTGTCACTCACCAGCGTAGCACCAGCGCCCCTGTCGGGGGGAGGGGACGCATGCCACCTTTTGAAAAAGGAGGAAAGCCCAAACTGGCTTACAGATCAGTTGGCTTGGTATGTGGGTGCAAAGCAAATCTGGACAGTGGCTGCATTACAGCCACCTTCAGAAGTGATCCCGAAAGACAGGGAGGGGAATCTTCACAGTGGGCTCAGCAGCAAGCAGGGCACTGGTCATCCAAATCTGTGTGGAAGGGAAGGTGGCCCAGGGTGAGAATATGCCCGGTGTCCTGGACAGTGCCATGGTCTGGCCATCTGGTTAGGGGCCTGGGAAGAACAGGACTGGACAGTCAGAGACAAGGAGCTCTGGGATAGAGGCATGTGGATGGACACATTAGAGTAGGTGTAATGTGTGAACAGTTTTGCTTCACATGTTAATGTCTACCAGAAAGCATCCACCATGAAAGGGTCACTGAGCGACCAAGTCGACTAGATGACTCAGCGGTGAAGTTAGCCAGCCTTTGTCACAGACCACACCAGGATTTGCAAAATGGGCACGTGAATGGGGTGGGCATGGTGGCAGGGGCAGAAGCTCTATATGGACTCAACAGCAGGGAACCCCACTTACCAAGGCCAGTCTAGCCATTGCAAATTAAAACCACAATGGGATACCACGCCACAACCTCCAAAATGGCTAAAATGAAAAAGATTGGCAATACCAAGTGCTGATTCATTGCTGGTAGAAGAATAAAATGATACAACCATTTTAGGAAAACTTTTTGGCAGTTTCTTATAAACTTAAACACATAACAATCCAGGGGTTGGCAAACTCTGTAAGAGCAAGATAGTAAATAGTTTAGGTTTTGTGGGCCAGGTTCTATGCAACCACAGGACTCTGCTACTGTAACATGAAAGCAGCCATAGACAATACATAAACAAATGGGCATGGCTGTATTCCACTAGACATCATTTACAAAAACAGTGGCAGGACCACAAGACATAGTTTGCGGAGCTATTAATTTGACAAGTAGGTGCATATGCATGAAAAATGAGTGCATATGTTCACAGAAAGAGGTGAGGAAAAAAATACCTATAGCATCTTCATTTGTAATCATCCCAAACTGGAAACAATCCAAAGTCCATCCTTAGGATACTGGGTAAACAAATTGTGCTATTTTCATGTAAAAAAAAAATACATAAAACATGAATGAAATTTAAAGACATTATGTTGAGTGATGGAGGTTCACTGTGAAAGTACACATTCTGTGTATCAGTTCTTATCTTTTGCTGTATAACAAATTGCTCCAAAACGTAATTATTTAAGACACACACACACACACACACACACACACACACACACACACACACACACACCGGGGTGGGCAAAAGTAGGTTGACAGTTGTGATGCCATGCTTTTGAGTTAATA